AAGGAGTTTTGTCAAACGGGTTTGCCAAGAAATAAAACCTAACACTTACCATGAAGTTATAGATGAGATTTACAATCAAGTTGATCATGTGGAGCCATGGATGACTGGGAACTGTCGAGGTCCTTCAACGTCATTTTGTCTCCTGTACAAGTTTTTCACTATGAAGCTCACTGTCAAACAAATGCATGGCCTGTTAAAGCATCAAGATTCTCCTTACATAAGATGTGTGAGTAGCTCCTTTAGATTGTATGATGTTTTTGATGCTTATTAAATTTCCCAGTGGTAACTTGCTTCTGTGCATGGATTAATAATGTTTGGTAAATCATTGATATTTGCATGACCTCAAATATTTTTTTTCTTTAAGTAATGCTATTGTGGTTAACTTACAATTGTTGAACTTGTTCTGTCGACATCTCGATTCATTGGGATCCAGTCAACATGTTATATAGGCTCAAATGAGCAAAAATTGCCTTATATATGTATGATGTCGAATTTTGTTGCTTATAGCATGGAAGGCTTGAAACCTATTTCTGCTTTTTTTGGAATAGGTTAGAAGAGGCAATTTAAATTTGTTGCTAACTGCGGCGGACCCATGAATCATTATTGGGAGGGCCAAACTATATGCTTTAAAAAATTGTACCAAAATATCCACTTCCATAAGCATAAAAACCAAAAAATTATTAAATCGGCAAATAAATTTCCAACATTGAGATAGGCATGTACAAAAAAAAAAGAAAAAAAAAGAAGAATTACAAAAGTTCCTTTTTGACATTGATTAAAAAAAAAAAATTAATTATTGCATTATTGTATTTTTTTGGATACATTGTAGGTTTGCCTGGGAAAGTCTTGTCTTTGACAAGACTTGAACCCTTGAACTCCTAGTGAGGTGGCTAGCCCTGCTTAGCACATATTATAATATAAATCCAGTTGAATGGGAAACAAAAGCCTCATCATATAAATTCATCAATGTGAGAATACACTTTTGTAAGAGACACAATAATTTCCTTAAAACTCTAAGAAGATTGGGAATAAGGTTTGAATATAAAATAAGATGATGAAAATTTTTGGAAGTACAATAAGAAGAATGAGTATAAGGTTTGGGTGCTTTTCAGAATAAGGTTTTCTATTTAGATTGGATATTAGCACAATGGGGAATCTTCAATTTAATCTATAGCCATGGGTTCAAGGAAAATGTCCTATCCAAACAACATCCTATTCATGTACTAATATGAATAAATTCCTTTACTTTTAAGACTTTTCAAAATCATCAATTTGAATTCTCGGCAATAGAGGCAGGAGAATGGGCAGGGCTAATGTGTTGAGCTCAAGCTTATTTGGTTAGGAGCTTGATATTTATGGGCGAAAGGTCTTTACTTTTGCTCTCTTTGCAAAGGCAGCCATCACATTGTTTTTAGTTTTAAATAAATGAGAAACCATCAAGAGAAAATAAGAGCATGAGGTTGATACTGTTAGATAGTTTGATATATGTTAGGTCCATTTCCTAACAGCTTAAGCTTTTGAAAAAATTGGTAACTTAACATGGTATCAGAACTCTGGTTAATAGAAGTCTTGGGTTCAAATATCTTTATTAGCATTTGGTATTATGTCCCCGTTTGTTTGCTTCTCCTTCTATTTGATTCTCTGTTTGTCTCTCCACATGCAAGACGGGGTTGCACATGAGGGAGGTGTTAGATATTTTGATATACATTATTGGGTCCATTTCCTAATAGGTTAAACTTTTGGAAAAATTAGTAGCTTAACAAATACAACTGCCCAAACTTAGCTAAATTTAGGGGTTGTTTGGGGTGTCTTAAATAAGTGCACTTTTTGGACTAAAAAGTTGAGGAAAAAAATATGGATGTTTGGGTTAACTTTTTGACTTTTTATGGAAAAATGTGTATTAAAAAATTGTAAAGAAGTGTGTAGGAGAAGATTGGAGATGTGTGTATGACAGCCATACAATCTGGAAGGCGAATTAATAGTAAGAAATTATTGGCTACTTTTCGGGCATTGCAGTGGACGGTTTTGTTCGGCCCATGGGGGCCATCACGGGTTCCATTTTGATAATCTGAACCGTTCAATGTGTAGAACTCGTCGAGTACTATATGCTTATAAAAAATCATGTTGATCGGATATCGATAGCTATTTAATCAGATTTGTGTTTTTTCAATCGTTAATTATAACGCCATCCTTTTTTTTTATACAAAACTGATTTGATCATTTAGTTGTCGATATCCGATCAATGTGATTTTTTACAGACATATAGTACTCGACGAGTTCTACACATTGAACGGTTCAGATTATCAAAACGGGACCCATAATGGGCCCCCACGGGCCGAACAACAGTGTGTGAAAATTGCACCCAAAATGTGCAATTTTTGGGACAAATGCTGCACAGCGCCAACTTTTCATGATTGCTGAGTTGTATGAATGTGTGGAAAAGTAATTTTTTAATATTTTTTTTTGGTGAATAGTGATAACTTTTTGAGTAATTTTTTGACTTTTTGGGGAGTTGCCAAACTTGGCCTTAGTTGTGACATTTTAGATGGAGACATTTTAATTAAAGTTCACAAAATTTTGATAATGGAAATACATCCAAAGTAACTGGTAAAGCTTTGGGTGGCATTTCTTTTATCTGCATGTTGGTTTTTGAGTTATGAGATTTCAAGTTCTTTGAGTGTTCACACTGGTTTGTTAATTGTTCAGAAATTAAGAAGTTTGTTTGTGATTTTAAACTTGAATTTATTATGGTAAAGAAAGATCTATCCTGTGTGTGGGCAATGTCCCTTGCTTTGTTCTGCAATTTTTAAGGATAAATAATCTTTAATACACTATTGTTCTGCTCCAGATGGCATCTAGATCATAGCCTCATTTTATTCCAAACATAAATAACTCTGCTTTTGCCACTAGTGTTATGGCATTAAAGATGCTCGGAAAGCTATAACCATTGTTGTCAAATCACGAATCGAATCTTGAATCGTTTTGCTAAAATAATGAACTGTGAATTGTATTAAATCGTGAATCATAAGATTCATTTTATTTAATATGATATATGATTCTATATATTTATATACATATAAAAATACATACACTGTTTAAAATAAAGTAAATTATCAATATGACTAAATTATATATATGTATATACATATAAAATCACGTCTATCAATATAACTAATTAGTCTCCTCTATATATCTTTACAGTTCGGCAAAAACGACATTTGTTTCATGCATTAGGTAAACAAAAATAGAAATAAAACTGAATCGCAATAAATCGTAAATTGAATCGTACAATTCACACAATTTCCAATTCAACAACACGATTCGAATTGTTTTTGTTGAAACTCGTATCGAATCGTGAATCGTATGGTTATAACAACCATGACTATAACTAACTTTTATTTCCCTTTTGGAAGCTCCATTTTCTTGTTTAGTGAAAATTTGAAAAGAACGTTCGCAAATCTGGTACTTGTAAAGAAATGCAAATATTGAATGGAATCTGGGTTAACACCTATCGAAGTATTTCTTTTTTACTACTAGACCTACCTGTTTACTTTTACAAAATGAAAATATAAAACCCCGATCAGAATCTTACACATATCAGCAGGTATTAATTACTCTAAATTTATTTTGCAGGTTGGCTTCCTATACTTGAGATATGCTGCAGATCCCAAAACATTGTGGAATTGGTTTGAACCATATGTCAAAGATGAAGAGGTATTTTGCCATTTTTTATTTGTGAATTGTTAATGAACCCACCTCTTTCACCGACTCTATGCGATTTATATTTCTATCAAGCATGAGTTCTATCACAAGGCATCAAATCTATTCATTGTTTTTTATTTGGGATTCTGCAATTAGTCCTTGAAACTAGAAAGAATATAGGAATAGAATAAAAATCCACTTTGAATTCGAATGAAGGGGTGACAAAAAGCTGCGTTGACGTGATTAGGGACATGTATGAAGGGTGGGTGACCACTATTAGATCGCCAGCTGGAGAGACAAATGAATTTTCTATCACTGTAGGGTTACACTAAGGATCTACCTTAAGTCCTTATCTTTTTGCTTTAGTTATAGACGAGTTGACGATAAATATTCAGGATGACGTGCCATGGTGTTTGTTTTTTACAGACGATATTGTGTTAGTGGATGAGACTAGAGAAGGAGTTAACACAAAGTTGGAGATTTGGAGAAAAGCTCTTGAATCTAAAGGATTTCGGATAAGCAGAACTAAGACAGAGGACATGGAGTGTAAATTCAGTAACAGTAACAATGAAAGCAGAGGAGAAGTGAAGATTGATAACCAAGAACTGCCTAAGAGTGAACATTTTCGTTATTTAGGGTCGATTATCACAACAGCGGGAGAGATTGATGCAGATGTGGCCTATAGGATTAAGGCGGGATGGTGTAAGTGGGGAAGTGCATCTGGAGTATTGTGCGATAAACGAATACCCACTAGACTAAAAGGTAAGTTTTATAGAACGGTTATTAGACCAGCTATGTTGTATGGGACGGAGTGTTGGGTAACCAAGAAACAACATGTAGATAAGATGAGTGTGGCTGAGATGAGGATGCTAAGGTGGATGTGTGGTAAGACTAGACAAGACAGGATTAGGAATGAGTGTATTCAGGAATGGGTAGGAGTAGCACCGATAGAAGATAAGTTGAGAGAGAATCGTTTGAGATGGTTTGGTCATATTCAACGGAGATCAACAGAGGCAGCAGTGAAGAGATGCGATGCTGTAACGGTAGATGGAAGTGTTAGGGGACGGTGTAGGCCTAGATTAACGTTGACTAGCGTTATAAATAGAGATATGAATCTACTTAATTTGACTAATGAAATGGCCTTTGATAGGGCCGCGTGGAGAAGAAGGATTCATGTAGCCGACCCCATTTGATGGGACTTAAGGCTTGGTTTGGTTTGGTTTGGTTTGGTTTTGAATTCGAATGAAGAAATAATAAATAGAAAAAATTATTTCCAGATATCTCAATTGGTAAAATTCGAAACAAGTACCTTCTTTCGATGAATGTCTAAAAGAATCACTTCAAGTAATGAATATTATTCAGATTTTGAGACAAAAACCCCCTTTTGGTTGTCTTTTCTTACTGTAACTTGTTTTTGTATGATTTAATATTTGTATTTTTAGAAACTTTCACTTGCTCACCATGCTCGTGTGGAATGGATTATGGATATGAAGAAAAGCAGCTATCCCTTGTTAATCAAACAATGGATTGTTATGATCCTGTCCCAAAAGCATTTCCAAGAAAATCTACCTTAAGCAGTGAACAATAATTCTTCACCAATCAACTAGAATACCATCTTTTTTTCCCCATGTTGTGTTTGTGAACTTGCATGTCATATCATCCCAATAAGGCTACTTAACCAAGCGTTCTATTAAATCTATTCCCTAAATTACTTGGGCTGATGAAACTTAAAATGACTCATCAACAACTAGAAAGCCATCAAAATTGGAGGTGCAAAAATCATACATAATACAATTTGGTACAATTGGAGAAAGTGCTATAAAATGAAGATCAACCTTGCCCAATTAGATAACCAGATCCCTTTTTTATGCTGCATGAATCTTTTTCCCAACTTGTCTTGGAGTTAAATTGACCTCTCAGTAATGTGCTTATAAATCAAGAAGGAAACATCCATCTAATCAACTTATGTGTCTTATAACCTTTTGACGTTCTAACTCTCGTCATGAGGAATATGGTGTGATATCCAAGAAAAAGAGAAAAAGGAGGTAGAAGGGTTGGAAATGAGGATTAGGGAGTGAGGCAAATGGAGAGAAAAAGGGGTGAGGTGGGGAATTCAAAGGAGGAAAGCCAAGAGAGATGAAGAGTGGAGAGAGGAAATATAAAATGGCTTAAATTCAAGTGGTTTAATTTATCATGGGTGTGGAAGTAGAGGTTGGTTATTAATCGTGCTTAGTATAAATACACATACATTTTTTTGAGGTTATGTGCTAATGGGACCTTGAGATAGTATAAAAAGGTTTAAAGAAGGACAAGACTTTCAACTACCTTTACTTGAGATCAATTACAAAAGCTTGCAAATAAATAAATATCCCAAAAAAATTTAGTGATATCTATAAAAAGAGACATATGGTAAGATGCAAGTCTCAGAAAAGTTGAAAACATTGTTTTGGACAAGAGTTCCTCACAAATCATGGAGTCCAAAAACCTATCTGGTGTGCCTTGTGCAGGAATTCCTTTGTTTATTTTGCCTAGCCTAAGTTGTACAATGTGATAACTGATTAAAGGGTTAACTTGTCATTGTTCTCTCACTCTACATTTGCAAGACCTTTCTTCTTCTTCTTTGCCCCCTCTGGAGGAGGGAGGGACTTTGTGGAGCCCTTTTTCAACATTTAGTTGAGCCATTGTTAGTCCCTTTTAACCCCTGGTATTCTATATTTGAGTTGTGCCTTAAAGTTTAGTGGATGTATCTTTTAGCACTTGTAGAGAGGGCCCCTATTGATGTCATTTTTATTTCACTGCTAGAACACATCTGACTTGAATTTCTGTGAGGGAAGAAGAGTAGCTGGTCTTCGGATTGGTGGGGATGATTCAGACATATTGAACAACATTAAAACCTGGAATGCATAGACTTGACTACCCTTTTTTTTGGGGGATCACATAGACTTGACTTTCCTGTTACTCTGCTATTGCATAACGATCTTGATCCAGATGGTTTGCTTGTCTAGTTTTAGCCCTAATGTCAAGTTTAAAATTTTTAAAGATGCTTCATCTTCTGGATTAGGCAGTTCGAGTTCAACCAAGGCTGCTCATGTAATTCCAAACCATTTCTTGACAGGTGCATCATTTTTTCCTTAAATGTGTAAATATAGCTGTATACAATACTCATGTTAATTTTCTTTATTTTTTTACCTTCATCATAGCTGTATATGACTAGGCATTCTCGTGTGTTTTGAATGAATTGCTGACATAAACTTCACTAAAATGGTATGCACTTTTTATTTGTTTAACAATCATGATTTTCTGTTTCAGGAATTCTCCCCTGGATCTAGTGGCCAAGTGACCACTATGGGTGTGTATGTGCGTGATTTACTTCTTGGACAGGTCAGTCAGCATAATATATGAATTGCACAATGCTCACATAGCTATGAATCTATGATGTTTTTCCTATTCAAATGCTTTTCTATTACTCCTCAGTCAGTCATTGTGACAGTTGGGTAGCGGAAGCATACTTCAGCATAACTGCATTGTTCACCTCTTTTGAATTTGTTTGGGTCATGCTTTTCAACTTCCATAATAGGTAATCACTAAACATGATAAATTCAAGTGCTGAATCTCCTGATGCTTAATCTCAGGTTTAGAAAGCACAGTTGAGACCTAGAAATTTTGATGAAGTTTTTCTGATAAATTTGATTCTTCTACATGGCATTGCTGAATCTGATGATTCCATCCACTGAAATTTCTGCTGACAAGTCTCTTGGATGAACACTGGCTATTCTAGTCATGTTGGTTCAAGACTAGTTCATTAATAATTTCTTGTTAGAAAAAGAAATATTTTTTCACAGATTCTCTCTTTATTTTTTTTATAGGGTATGTTATTTTGTTGACGAAAAGTATATCAATCATGACCCGGGTTAGCAATAAAGTTGCCGTCTGTTTTTGGGGTTTAACAGTTCTCTTTAAAATGGTTTACGACTGTATAAATTGAGAAAAACTTTTTTTTCTTGTTTCGTCTTTCTTAAACAAATACTGGATATAGAAACATTTATGACTTAAATTTTCTACAATTGATACTTGATTTTTTGTTTTGGATAAGTAAATTTTTTTGAGGATGACGCTTGAAACATTTTGAAGAGTGTCTTTGAAAGTACGGTGTCAAATGTGTTCCCTCATCATTTCACTGACTGTCCTGTTTACAACATCAAACAAGCCCTTAGAAGCCCAAGCTCCATCAAAGTCTCGAGTTTCATGTCAGGAACTGACTTGGCGGGACAACAAAAGGATATCATAATGTCTACAAGTAGAGTCACAAGTGAAATCAATCAAGGGGTTGCACACCCTTAGGTTATCCGGTTTTCTCCTTATCTTGTATGTCTGTCCACTTGGCATACCAATTCTTTAAGCCTGTGTTTAGTTTATGGATTTGAGAAGGGATTCAGAAAGGGAAAGGGAAAAAATGTGTAAAATGTAGTTATATTTCATGCACATTTCTACATTTCACCTACCTTTTCTCTTTCTCTACCCAAATCTATGAACCAAACACAGCATAAGGGTCTTCAAGTTTTTTTGGAGTATAAAATGTTCCTAAATTTGTGTAAATTTCTCACCAGATGGAACTGGTGAGGAAAAAAATGGAACTGCCAACATTTGTGCATGAGGCACGTGGTAAGCACCATTCAAGTTTTTACCATATTCAGTTGTGCATTTTTAGAATCTCGTCTTGAGTCAATATCTAAGCCTTGAAGTATATATCCTTCTCAGAATAACCTGGTTAGAGAGAGAGGATAACTTCTCCCAAGAATGATGGTGAAAACGATCAACTGAAAGATTGCCTTGTGTAATTGCAACATCATATTTTTGCTTAATTTGTTTATTGATTTTTGGTAAACACCGTATTCTTTTCATTAAGTTTATTTTGATAATAATTTTTGTTAGTGAACTTGGTGGACTTAGATTTCAGGTGACAAGCGGCTTGGACGTCAGTATTTGGGAAGAATTGTGTCATTTATGATAACAAATAATCACATATTGCACCTTTGCCAATGCATTATGATGTTTTGTCCCTGTGTAAATTTCATCTCATACCAAATTCTTATTGCATCCAGCATTTTTTATAACAATCAACAGGAGGGTAATAGGGGATGGATCGCAGCAATAAGAATTGAACCCAGACATCACGCTAATGAGAGTTATCTCAACCACTAGGTCAATCCTTTGGTCCTACTGCATCCAACTTAATTTTTTCTCTTATAATTATGTCAGCTAAAACACTGCCCCTTGAATATCGGACTTCTGAAAAAAAATTCCCCAGTTCAAACTGCCATAATAATTCATTGGTTTTTTCTTTCTCCCCGTAAAGAATAAGTCTACCACGATTCAGGAACTTGTGATGCGATCAAGTTTGCCTGTTGCTTTGAGTTGTTTTTAACACATTCTCTTTACTGAAATCTATGTTCTTTACTGAAATCTAGCAAGCTTACAAGTTATACTCAGTGGTTGCCCTAAGTAGGTATAGTTTCAGATTTGGCTTCACATCCCATATCTGAAAGCCTGCTTTTGTGTGAGAGTAAAGTTTGGGAGCTACAATTCGAGGTTTTAAGCCAATATATGTGAAATGATTTCTATTTGTGCACCATATGATCGATAGGCTGAACATCCTTTTGATGTTGCTGTCTGGTTTTTATTTACAAACTTCCAATCATACTAGTTTTGTTTGCAGAACTTCTGTTGCATCTATTTAGTGGTCGGATTTAATAATTACTGACATGCTTTTTAGGTTTCATTACTAAATAAATAATATGATTGATGCCTTTATTTGCTATTCATTCCATTTCTCATGAATTTCCCACAATTTGATGCCTTTATTATTGTGTTTTGGATCTAAAGCGGAGCTCTTACAATCTGGCCTTCTCTTGCAGTACTATTTTGATACTCTCTTTCCCCGCATCCCCGTTCCTGTAATGCGGCAGATTGTATCCAACCTTGAAAAGATGAATCTCCCCACTAAACATTGTGGAGTGACTGGTGAGTCTACCCGTGGATCTGATGACACTGCGCGTCGGCCACCATCTGTAAAAGCTGCCCTTTCAGTCTCTTTTGGTCAACGTGCTCCTCATCGCGCATCAACTAGGGATTCATCCCCTGTTCGCCGTACAATGGCACCACCTTCTTATGATAGAAATGGCAAAGATGATTATTCGCGAAGATCTCCCAGCAACCGTCGCAGCCAGAGTCATGATTTGTCTGATCAAGATTATCCAGACCGAGACCAAGACCAAGACCGAGACCGGGAATGGGACAGGAACAGGGATAGGGATAGAGGAAGAGACAGCGACAGAAAGGGAGATAGAGTTAGGGAGCGAGAAAGGGATAGGGACAGGGGGCAAGAAAGGGACAGAGATAGGCGGTATGATTATGAAAGAAGGTCCAGAGAAAGCAGCAGAAGGGAATACGATAAGAGCAGCCGTGATCGTAGAAGCAGGAGCAGGAATAGGAGCAGAAGTCAAAGCAACCAAAGTCATAGTGCACATCCCAATCATCATCCAAGTCCACATAGAGATGACAACAAAGAAAAGACTTCTGCATCTAGCAATCTGGCAAAGCTTAGAGACTTGTACGGAGACTTGAGCAGTCAGAAAGAGGATTCTGCGAAAGATAGGCTGCCTAATAGGGATAGTGGTGCGGAAGAGGTTATCAGGCTTGGAGGTTCTAAGTGGAAGTAATGCATGCATCCAATTTCTCTTTCAGGGAAGATCAACTTCTTCCTCCCAATTGAACAATTCCAATTTCTTGTGAGCTCTCTTTCCTCCCATTATCAACTTCTCCGATTTTTCCTTATGAAGTAGAGACACGAATTGAATGATATTCACAGAATCACGTACAGTGCATCTGCAGTTGGGCTGCATGTATATTTGTTGTTTGTTTAACATTTTGTATTTCTCCTAAATTCAGTGGATTGTTTTTGATCAATTGTTTCAGAAGATTGTTTTTGGTTAATTGTTTCGGAAGAGTTTGTAAAACAGGTTCTGCTTAGAAAACCCATTGCCGAAAAGAAGTTGAAATAGATTCTTTTTGGTTATTTTAGCCAAAAAAAATTTGCCCATTTAACTACTTTAGGCAGTCGAAGTCTCAATCATTTTTTTCCTATTCGGACCAAAGAACACTGCAATGACCAGGGAATTTTTTTAACTTTAATTAGTTATAATTGAGACCCTAAATGTCGTGACTGTAGCCATATGTTACACACCTAAAAGGAGTGGGTATAGTACAATTTTTCTAAAAAAAATAATAATAATAAAAATGAGAGATATAAATGTGAAAATGGAACATATATAAATATTTTGATGTTTTAATCATATTGTATTTAACAAATTAAATTAGCTATATAGTGCATTTTCCTACCTTCGAAGGATAAGGAAAATGAGTGGGAGTACTAATTAGTGCTATCACTAATGATGTGGCAGTGGATCTTATCCACTGTCACAATTTTGTTGTGTCTATTTTTTTTTTTTTTTGAAAAAGTGAGTGTCATATCATTAGTGATTGTTTTAGAGCACCACTTTTAGTGATCTTTAGCATTGTCCGAAGAATAAAATGGTAAATGCAAACATGCTAGTAATGATTGAATAATCCTTGTAACTTTAAATTCAAGACAAACAAAAACGAAGCAAATATGTTTTAAGGATTTTTTTTACCTCAATGAAAATGAATTTAATATTTAACATTAAATGTCAAAAAATGAGAGTCAATTGAGGAGAACTTGAAGTATGAAGCAATAAATAACTAAATGAAAAATGCAATTGAGTAATATATCTCTGAAGTGCAAGAAATGCACTACATTACCTTGTTACTCCTTTGAAGCAAAATTACTAGTAAGATAAAAATGTACTCCTACTTGAGTTATGATTATGGCTACTCCTATGGAATGGAAAGACAAGACTGGAAATAAGAGAGATACAATTTTGGTTTGACAGAGTTTGATATGAGGGCTATCTCTTTGTTTGAACTTCTACTACATACTTCCCTTCTTTTTTTAATTTAAATTCCTTTCATCAATTATTGGGCTGCAATTGCTCAACTGCAAACACCTGATCTACTTGTTTTTTATTTTTTATATTTTGAGAAATGGTGATAACTTCATTAATAAGAAAGAAATATAGTTCATTGGAAGGAGAAGACACCAACAATAACATAAGACTATAAAAAATACTAATAAATGTACACACTGCAAAAATGATGAGAGTTGCAAAAATCTAAAGGAGAAATTCTATCAACATCTACAAGCACCTGCACGATTGATAAATTAAAACAAATGGCCATTTCTCGAAGATCACGTCACCAATAGAGGACTACGCTTGAAAGGGACTCAAAAAAGGCTTGGGTTTGTTCAACTATCTTCAATACCATTCTCTCTTTTTTGTTTTTTTTTTTTTTAATCATTGTCTTGAGAGAATTGATTAGCATCCAGTATAAAAGAATTGTCGATTGGATTCTCTTAGAACCACTTCCACCGTATGACGTGACACTACGCGTTTCACATAATGTTTGGACAGCATTTTGACTTGTGCATGAAAACATTGGACAAATGAATCTAGCATTGGGACATCCTTGATGGGCTGGTAAGTTTGTACACCTAAAGCAGCCTTTAGGCTACGAGATTCAGAAAATTTACCAATAGAACTTGTCTCTAGGTTCGATTTAAAGGTAACTTGGGATTACTTGAATTTGTTGGAAAATTGGGTTTTATAAGGTTTATTTTGAGTCAATTTTGAGTCCAAAATTGAGTGGATCCCGAACATTTTTTGGGTTGAGTCCGAAAATGTGACATGTTCCTTGCCACATGACAAGTCACACGGTGAAGACAGTTCGTCAAAACCATTTATGAGTGAATGAGAACTTGACGTTGTTTTCAGATTCGTGGAATGGACAATTAAAGAAGTAAATGTAGGTTTCCTTGAATTGGGTTGTTCCACATTGAAATTTTAATAAAACTTTTATATATATATAAGCTCTTAGTGTACTAACTTGGGTTGGACCTCAAGAGGCACCCCAAGTTTGTAGAATTGAGGAGTTATATTCAAAGTGAATCTTAGTCCAAACTATCACACGCGCGCAAGTGTGGATCAAGTTAGTTCTTATATTAATTTTTTGGACAAAATTCATTTGAATTTTTTCAAAATTACTAGCGAGAAAATTTAATTTAATTAAATTCAAATTTGAATTTAATTTTTTTGTCCTAATTTCTTTCTTTATTCGGTCAATGTCCAACAGGTTCAAAAAGACCATAACAGATTCGGTTGTTGGGCAATTTCTAAACAGATATATAACTGCAGCAGTTACCAGCAGTTATCTATCTGAAACAGTGCTATATCTGTTAAGTTTTTCTTTGCATCTATTCATTCAAAATTTGCATTTGTTCGATTCAAATATATACCTAGTCGGACAGGACTTTTTTGCATATAAATACCTACATTTCCAGCAGTGTTGGGGATCCAAAACAGTCTGAAAATTCATTTTTTGCTGTCTTATTTTCTGCACTATTGCATATATTCTTCATATTAGTTTTTAAGAATTTTTATAGAGAATATAGAACACAATGTTCTAGTTCGCCGAACAAATTTGTTTGGAGTGTTACTACAAATTTGTGAAGATCATTATATCTTGGGAGATGGACGCCACTTAACCGTAAGCACCGTAGCAGGGCGAATCTGTCTTAAGGACAGAGTGCCACACACTCGACTTGATCTTTTATTTTTCATTCAGTTCGATAAAATAAATTCTGTAAGTTATTTATTTTATTTTGTTTCAATTTATTTTTTGTACACAGAAGATTGTTCCAACAATCTTAAGACAGACTCGAATTATTCTATTTACAGAATTTTTCGTTTATTTCCTTTATTCTTTCTTCTTTTTACAAAAATTATTTTTTGTGATTTTACAAAATAATATTTTGGTTGGAAAACAAATAGTAATAATATACTGTCTATTTTCTTTTGACAACTAGTAATAATATACTGGTATTATTAACAATTCAAAATATTTATTTGTGGAATTTTGTCAGAAATTATTTTTGGTTTTCTTAATTTATTTCTGAGTGATCATTAATTAAAAAATTCTGTTTTAGTTTTTTAATTATTGAAGTGCTACAGAAATTTCATTTTCTGTGTGGAATTAATTTGGTTAAATAAAATTTTATTTTATTTCCAACTTAATTGAAAAATAAAAGTTACATTCTTGTTTCTTTTATTTTTATAGAATTTAATTATGTGAATTTGGGTTAATTTTCTGTGTAGTATAAATTCTAATTATAATTTTGTTTTATAATTTAAGATTCATGGCTACTGAAACAAATGTTCAAACGAGTACTGGAATGGTGGCTGTAATTGCATTAACCCCCTCTTCTGTTATGACAGTACCGGTAAATCATGATGAGAAGGCATAGAAGTTCTCTGGAACTGATTTTAAAAGATGGCAGTAGAAAATGCTGTTCTATCTTACTACTCTTAACCTGGCTCGTTTTCTCCGTAAGGATGCTCCTATTTTGAAAGAAGATGAAACCGACCGCAAGTGGTTGATGCGGTCGATGTCTGGAAACATGCTGATTTCCTTTGCCGGAACTACATCTTGAACGAATTTAACGACACATTATATAGCGTCTACAGTCCTATCAAGATAGCAAATGAACTTTGGGAGTCTCTAGAGAAAAAGTACAAAATGAAAGATGTCGGCTCAAAGAAATTTATGGTTGGCAAATTCTTGGACTTTGTAATGGTTGATTCTAAAACTGTGATCAGCCAAGTTCAAGATCTCCAACTCATTCTGCATGACATTCACGCAGAAGGCATGTCTCTTAGTGAATCCTTTCAAGTTGCAACCTTAATTGAGAAATTACCACAAGGCTGGAAGGAATTCAAAAACTACTTCAAACACAAGCGCAAAGAAATGTCTTTAGAAGAATTAATTGTGCATTTGAGGATTGAGGAGGACAACTGCAATTCTGAAAAGTGGGCTGGTAAGCATCCTATGGAAATGTGGTGGAACATGTTCCAAAAGTAAAGAAACAGAAGTTTTCTAGAGAAAGTTCATCACAAGGCTCTAAAGGAGGGGAAATTAAAAAATACAAATTTAATGGCAAGTGTTACATTTGTGACAAAGAGGGATATTGGGCCAAAGATTGCCGTAGCAAAGGCAAAAGAAGAACAAGCAAGAAGCTTGTTCAAGCCCATATGACCAAAGTGGACAATATTTCCAATGGTGTAGATGACATCAATCTTTCTGCAGTTGTTTCCAAGGCAAATCTTGTCGGAAATCCTAAAGAATGGTAGGTGGACACTGGTGCTACTTGCCACATTTGTGCCGACAAAAAGATGTTCATATCTTATTCTACAGTGGACAACGGTGAACAACTTTTTATGGGCAACTCCTTAACTTCCAAAGTTGAAAGACAAGGGAAGATTGTTCTGAAGATGACATCTAGCAAGGAACTCACTCTCAACAATGTGTTGCATGTACCGAACATTCGCAAGAATCTTGTTTCCGGATCTTTGTTGAGTAAGAATGGGTTTAGGCTAGTGTTTAAGAGTGATAAATTTATACTTACTAAGACTGAGATGTATGTAGGAAAATGTTACATGTCTGATGGCCTTTTCAAGATGAATGTAATGACCGTTGTACCTTCAGTTATTAATAAAAATACATTTTCTTCTTACTTGCTTGAGTCTTCAAATTTATGGCATGGTAGACTAGGACATATCAATTATGGATCTTTGCGTAGATTAATTAATATGGAATGTTTACCTAAATTTGACATTGATTCAAATCATAAATGTGAAATTTGCGTTGAGGCAAAATTATCCAAAACTCATTTTCATTCAATTGAAAGAAGTTCGGAACCACATGAATTAATTCATAGTGACATTTGCGATTTTAAATCAATTCAAACTAGAGGTGGGAAAAAAATATTTTATCAC